TATTGTACAGTCTGCTAAACAAGTTATTTTAAATAGTTTTTAATATTTTTAGGTAATTAAATTTTAAAAGTGTGGAATAGTTTAGGGATTAAATTGGTCTGATTGGACTTTCTTAGAACGTTTTTAAAAGCAGCTAAAGATAGTATGTAGAATCGAAAATAATTATTATGCCATAAAAGGTGTTTTGGAATTCCTTCAACCTTTTGAAATTGAGTCAGAAAATATAAATTTTATAGGATAGCGGAAAATACCTATAATTTTTTTGTAGGCCTTTGTAAATCGTGGAAATAGTTTATATTTTATTTCTACCTTATTAAGGAAAATGGTACCTATTATTAATAACGGTTGTTTCTGAAACATTACTAAAATTTTCGAAATTTTGTTTTTCTACAAAATAAACTATACTATTTAGAAAAAAATTTATTTCTCTTATAATTTTATAAAAAATAACGGGAATATTTACATTTCTTGATCTATTAAACAAAACGATAAATTATCTCGACGAATGACACCATGTTCTAGTACGGAAGCTAGCTTTACATTTTTGTTGGTGGTTTCATGGGTTTCATATCAATTTTTTGTAATTGTAGTTTACACGTACATATACCTCTTAACACTTGTTTGCTTTATTAAAAAAGTGTGTTGTTGTGATTTACATCGAAATAAGTCAAAAACAACTTGAAACCCCATATAAAATGAAAAAGGAGAAACGGAAAAAAATTGAGCCTGTAAATGAACACAACTCAGAAACAAAAATAGCTATCTAATAATAAAAAAATAAAATTTGATTCTTGTGCAGCTTCATCTATATCATTAACTGTTTTTGGTTTTTTAATGGTTTTTCTTGGTGATGAAAATTCCGATATCTCACGGTTATCGATTGTTTTTTTCTCTCCAGAAATGCGGACGAAAGTGTTTTTAGATACTCCTGTGGCTGCAGCAACACGATCATTTACATTTTTAAATGGTATTGAAGGTGAATTAAAGTTTCCTTCTCTTCTCATAAACTCTATAACATTGGCTATTATTTCGCGAGATTGACTGTTAATCACGCGGCCTCTTAATTTGCTATTAAACTCCATACTTAGGTTCTATTAAACTGTAATGAGCAAAAAACACAAACGAAAATAAAAGAAATGTTTTAGCGAAATTTACATCTGACATTTACGTCTGAATGAAATAGTGAAATACTTGATGCGCAGAGTGTACTTTCATTGCGTAAATCCGTCGGGATGCCTCTCAGTAGTGCTTTCTCTGTCTAGCCGTCGAAAGCCTCTAGAAATTTGATGAACTGTACATTTAGTTAACATCTGAGACGCACCGTTGTTGCGTTCGTTGCGGTTGCTACCTTTATGTACCTGATCTGTGTACAAAGCTTACAACTGCGCGTCATTACTTTCATTGGTTGGCAGTTTATAGAGCCAGTGTATAGAGGTAAACGGGAAAAATCCACCACACTTGTTGCACAAACTATTTTCTTTTATTAAAATATACCTTCCTTGTTAGAATTTTCGTATTAAATATTTAAATTTTCAGTGATTAATTTTAAATCGTCGCCATATAGTAAATATTTTACATTATTATTAGTTACGATATCGTTAATAAAAATGTTAAAAGAGAAGAGGACCCAGAATAGAGCCCTGAGGAACTCCGGAAGTTGGAGAAAATACATGTGATTTAAGACAAATACATTAAATTGGTTGCGACCAATTATATAGGATTTTAAGACAGTATAGATTACGTCTACCTGATCTTTTTGGTCAAATTTCTGACACAAGACCTGTGTAAAACAAGATATTTGTTATAGTCGATCGTTCTCAAATGAATCCATGTTGTTCAGGTATAATAACATTACGTAACTTGAAATAAATACAATATTGTTATGGTACTTTAACACTATTTATGGTGTTGTTTTGCAAGAAAATATTGTTGTTTCTATCAAAAATGCTATTGTCCTTAGAGGGGTGTTTTTTAATCAACTATGTGGAGCTTTGTCTAGCGCTTATTATAAATATACAGTTCATCAAATTTCTAGAGGCTTTCGACGGCTAGACAGAGAAAGCACTACTGACAGGCATCCCGACGGATTTACGCAATGAAAGTACACTCTGCGCATCAAGTATTTCACTATTTCATTCAGACGTAAATGTCAGATGTAAATTTCGCTAAAACATTTCTTTTATTTTCGTTTGTGTTTTTTGCTCATTACAGTTTAATAGAACCTAAGTATGGAGTTTAATAGCAAATTAAGAGGCCGCGTGATTAACAGTCAATCTCGCGAAATAATAGCCAATGTTATAGAGTTTATGAGAAGAGAAGGAAACTTTAATTCACCTTCAATACCATTTAAAAATGTAAATGATCGTGTTGCTGCAGCCACAGGAGTATCTAAAAACACTGTCGTCCGCATTTCTGGAGAGAAAAAAAGAATCGATAACCGTGAGATATCGGAATTTTCATCACCAAGAAAAACCATTAAAAAACCAAAAACAGTTAATGATATAGATGAAGCTGCACAAGAATCAAATTTTATTTTTTTATTATTAGATAGCTATTTTTGTTTCTGAGTTGTGTTCATTTACAGGCTCAATTTTTTTCCGTTTCTCCTTTTTGATTTTATATGGGGTTTCAAGTTGTTTTTGACTTATTTCGACGTAAATCACAACAACACACTTTTTTTAATAAAGCAAACAAGTGTTAAGAGGTATATGTACGTATAAACTACAATTACAAAAAATTGATATGAAACCCATGAAACCACCAACAAAAATGTAAAGCTAGCTTCCGTACTAGAACATGGTGTCATTCGTCGAGATAATTTATCGTTTTGTTTAATAGATCAAGAAATGTAAATATTCCCCTGTTATTTTTTATAAAATTATAAGAGAAATAAATTTTTTTCTAAATAGTATAGTTTATTATTTTGTAGAAAAACAAAATTTCGAAAATTTTAGTAATGTTTCAGAAACAACCGTTATTAATAATAGGTACCATTTTCCTTAATAAGGTAGAAATAAAATATAAACTATTTCCACGATTTACAAAGGCCTACAAAAAAATTATAGGTATTTTCCGCTATCCTATAAAATTTATATTTTCTGACTCAATTTCAAAAGGTTGAAGAAATTCCAAAACACCTTTTATGACATAATAATTATTTTCAATTCTACATACTATCTTTAGCTGCTTTTAAAAACGTTCTAAGAAAGTCCAATCAGACCAATTTAATCCCTAAACTATTCCACACTTTTAAAATTTAATTACCTAAAAATATTAAAAACTATTTAAAATAACTTGTTTAGCAGACTGTACAATAGCTATCTTAGTCACACGTAGCGCGTTCTCTGTCTGGGCGTCGAACACCTCTAGAAATTTGATGAACTGTAGTTTTGTCACAAGTGACAGACCTGTAATAATACAGAAAATAGCTATATTGTTCAATGGTTGACAGTTAGTTCCATAGGTCTTAGAAACCCTATATACAGCATCGCAAGTAAATTTTGATTCCCTACATGCTGGGCGCCATGATAACTTGAGTTTTAAGGTGGCACAAGAAAGGATCGGCGTAAGGTTACGGTAGAAGATTTAATGATGCACTAACTTTTCATTTGACATTTGTCACAGATATTTCGTCTTGTTAATAAATATTTTTTTATGATTCTGTGTATACCATACCAAAATAGTTTCGGGATTAAAAGTTGATAGCTATAGAGAGACCATTAATAATTGTTTGAAATCACCACTAAACAGTCAACCTGTTTATTTACAATTTATATGGTATAGTTTTGCTCATTTCAAAAAATATTATACAAACTTTATGCGTGAAGACATCTTCCAAGCATTCGCTTCTTCGTCGCTCATGCTTTTAAATACGCTTATGCGCGACCATAGTCTTCCCGCACTTGGTTCGTAAATGATTATTGTTACTCATGAAAAAATTGTTCAGATAATTCTGAATCTTTTAGAAAATACATTAGAAAGCCCGGAGTAATAGCGTTTATTATTCTTTCAACCAGCCAAATAATACCTACCTGTTTATCCAAGAAGTTTTTCAGAATCAAATAATAATCAATTAATAATGTTAAGAATGAATTTCATGCTCACATTATAGGTAAATTTATATATCAACAAAGGTTTAATACCTCATACTTTTAAATCTCACCCCCAAATCGCGATGAAAACTGAGAACTGTTGTAGTGTTGCAAACACCTGAGAAGAACGAGAAGAATAAGTTTTTGTAAAATGTAACGATTTGTATTGGTTGATGCTCTGGTGTTATATTAATCAATTTTCAATCTGTAAACCGTAAGAATAAAAGAGTATTATGAGTATGTTTGTATATATTGAGTTTTTATGATGCGACTCTCGCAAAATAACACATAGCAATAATCATAAACGTTAATGGTCCTTCAGCTCGGTTTAAAATAAAACAAGAAATCGTTGTACCCACAATTCGTATCTAACCAAGTTCAGGAATTGGGACATCACCTGTTGAGAATAAAAAAATGGTGAGGTTCGTTCAGTTTTATACTCCTTTTTTGTCCGATCTGCTTATTTTTTTATACTGTCTTAATCAGTAGTAAAAGCACTAAAACTGCTGGCAATTGTAGACACTATACCGGGAAACTGAATCATATTTTCATTCATTTATATAGAGTTAATTCATGTTTATTTCTCAGTCTTCTCTAAGATCAATAACACATTTTATTTATCTTCATTGAAATAAAGTAAAAATAAAATGGGGCCTAGCACTAGTCCTTGAGGAACACCGCATTGTATCTTAGCTTGACTGGAACGATGACTAAGAGACAACTTGATATCTGTATGTTAAATAAATAAATAACAAATTTAAAACAGAACCCCGAAAACCGTATTTTTCTTATTTCCTTTAACTTCCCGTTTAACTCTACACAGTGACCTAAATATGGCTAATTGAGACTTAAATATGAACCCTGACGATTGCCTGTCTGATTAATTTTTTGTTTATTTTCGAATTCTAGGTCTCTAAACTAGTAATTCTTCATGAAGAAGCTGAAGATGGCATACCTATGCCCGACCTTCAACAACCAGTCAGGTCTGTTAGTAATGCCGTTTCAAATTTGGTCAAGGTAAGCAAAAAATGATTTTTTTATTATTTTATTCGGGCAGATTTACATAAAATTTAGCTAAATATGGAAATATATTAGGGAAATCGTCTACATAAATGCATAGATTTTGAAATTCGTTCATGACTCTGAACTTAAGTAAGCTTTATACAGGGTGTTTCATAAAGACCTGACTAAATCTCTATAGTACGTCAAAAAATAATATTTGTTTACTTAATAAACATGTACGAAAACGCTTAATAAGATTGATGCATAGAAAAACATATAAAAAAGTCAGTTTATTAAGATTCTCTATAATTGTCTATCTTTAAGGTTTCACATATGGGTAAATTTATAGTTTCTTTGTGAATTAGGCTATACAATTGTGTTTGCATACATGACGTAAAAGTGTAGAGATTCTACTAACGTTTCATCGTTGTATTAATGCTTCATCAGGGCAATTGTGTTTATTTTTAATCAAAATCATTATTTAGGTCGGTAGAGAGACAATTAACAGTTCCGATGACCCCATTTTACGCCAAGACATGCCAGCTGCACTCGTCAGAGTGGAAAGATCTTCCAAATTATTGGAAGAGGCTAGCGACATGCTTAAACACGACCCATTCTCTTCACCAGCGAGAAAACGATTGATTGAGGGTAGCGGAGGTATTCTACAGGTAAGGATATCAAATAATCAAATTGAAAACCACTACTATTAATATATTTTAGGCTACTTCAGCTCTTCTGTTATGTTTCGATGAATCTGAAGTTAGAAAAATTATCAAGGAGTGTCATAGGGTTCTGGATTACCTCGCAGTGGCAGAAGTTATTGAAACTTTAGACGAGCTTGTTCAATTTTTAAGAGATTTGAGCCCATGTCTTAGCAAAGTTTCCAGGGAAGTTAGTGCCAGAGAAAAAGAGCTTACACACCAAGTACGTTTTTGTCTTAAACAATATTGTATGTTTGTATATTTATTCAAATTGTAGGTCCATTCGGAAATATTGGTGAGATGTTTAGAGCAAGTAAAAACTTTAGCTCCGATACTAATTTGTTCCATGAAAATTTACATTCACATCGTATCCCAAGGAGGAAAAGGTGCCGAAGAAGCGGCAGAAAACAGAAATTATTTAGCGCAAAGAATGACAGACGAAATTAACGAAATCATCAGAGTTTTGCAGCTCACCAGCTACGACGAGGAACAATCCGAATTAGACAATCTTACCGTTTTGAAAAAACTTCAAAACGCTATTTCTAATAAGATGAACGCAGCTAACGATTGGCTTTTTGTAAGTAAAATTTTTACAAGGTATAAAACGAGGATTGCCTTTCAAGTTATTACAAAAACAACAAAAGAAGAAATTTTTTAATTTGACATTATAAATTTTAGGATCCAAATGCTGTCAGAGGTGGTGTGGGTGAAAAATCTCTTAGACAAATCATCGAGGCGGCTCAAAAAGTAGCTGAAAGGTAAAATTCTTAACCAGTATTTTGATACATTTCGTAGACATAATTGTATTTATTTGTTAGGTGCCTTCCCCAAGATGCCCACACGATCAACAAACTGTGTTCCGATTTAACGACCATGACTGACGCTCTCTGCGAACTCAGACAAGACGGCAAAGGGGCCACTCCTCAAGCCGAATCTTTGGCAAGGGGCATTAGAGAAAAATTAGGCGGATTACAGCAAGCCGTATTGAACGCCGTAGTGGCAGTCGACAAGACGGGATTGCAACAAACCGCGCACACTGTGCAAGGAAGGTTAGTAATTTCTTACTGACCAACGTAATAATCTCTATTATTCCTAAAACCTTGTTTATAGATTAGAGCAAGCAAGAAAATGGCTGTCCAACCCTGGCCATGACGACAAAGGTTTAGGAAGAAGAGCTATCAACGCAATTGTAGAAGAAGGACGAAAAGTAACTATCTACCAACTTCTGTTTTAAGGGTAAAAACATAGTGATGCAGGTCATATACAGTAGAATGCACTTAAAAAAATATACCGGAGTAATGCAAACATTGCCGCGCTCTTTGTCGTAAATTGAGAACAGGACAATTTATTTTCCTACAAGCAACTGCCTGAAACTAGCTCCATGATTGGTTGTCTCAAGGACGGCATATTAAAATTGAAAGACTGTTTCAAAGCGGCTAGTGTTAATGTGTGGCGATCTGAAAGACAAGAGGCGCGGCGTTGTAAACTGCCCACTATGTTTTTACACTATAGTGTAAAATCTCGTACGTTTTAGGTCGCCGACGGACTACCAGGAGTCCAAAAATCAGAAATCCTCCATCTCTGCGACGAAGTTGACGGTCTCACCCACCAATTGGCAGACCTGTGCGCTCAAGGTCTCGGCAACACTCCCCAAGCGCAAGAAGTAGCCAGGAAATTGTCGCAAAAGCTGCACGAACTGAAAGAGAAAATTAACCAGGCCGTCGTTAATCGAGTCGTGGAAGATTTCATCGATATCGTGACGCCTTTAAAACAGTTCACAGAGGCCGTTCTGGTTCCGGAAGGGACTCCGAACAGGGATCAGAATTTCTCCGATAAAGCGGCGAATTTGCAGCAGTTTTCGAACAGAGCCGTCAAGACCGCCAAAATGGTGGCAGCTGGTAAATAAATTATTGTATTCATATAAAAAACATATAATTATTAATAGTTAGGTAATAAGTTATTCGTGATGCAAGCATTGACTTACATATTATAGCAGAAGCCGTCAAGGTCATATGAGCGGAGTTCAGTTCTTTCCGGTTATTCAAAGTAATCACTTGGCTTTAATAGGTCAACTTCATTTTGAGACGTTGTCACATATAAGCGTCGTAAAAAATCGTGCACGCTCTTGAAATTATTACTGATGGGTTGCTCGGGAGTGTCCGATGGACATGTCTAAAAAGTGTGCGAAATTGTTAAATTAAATAATTTGGCTGAATTTCTTACAAACATGTAAAATATAATTAAAAAAAATATAGATGATTACTGATTTTTATTATGACAGTTTCGTATTAAATTGAAATGCATATTTATATCGTATACATTAGTTGTATAAAACATTAAAATTGCCCGCCACTGCACTGGCAACATTTCTACCTGTCCCGTAATCTCATTTTTTACTGCCTATAATTGACAGTTATTAACTTTATTGAGTGTAAAACTTAATGGTCCTTCGAGCCGGATTCGACAACCATTCCGGACAGACTGATTTAACTATAGTGCAGCCTAATTTGTCTGAAATGGGGATACGCTATAATCTAGCTTCAATAATTGCTAACACCAACTGTAACGGTATAAGAGTGCGCAAATTTTACTCTACCACAGGCAAATTATGCTGCAGCGACTGTACACCCATAATAAATATATAAAACCATTAATTAATGTGTATTAATTTTACTATTTTACCGTTCTTTCCGCCGTATCTCAAGTTGACTCTTATAGCGGTTTTTGCTACTCCTGTCGATCTGTGTCATATCTTAAATAGTACTTTTAACATTTGCGTATAGGTGGCAGCTCTGGTAACAAAAAATTAGCGGAGGCTCTCCAAAGCGCAGCTAACCAAGTTGAAAGTTTGACGCCTCAATTAATATCTGCCGGAAGCATTCGAATGAACTATCCCACATCGAAGGCTGCCGACGAACATTTCGAAAACCTGAGACAACAGTATGCCGACACCTTAACTAGGGTGCGAAATCTGTGCGATGAAGCCACCGATTCTGCAGATTTCATCAAAGCTTCAGGTAAAAAGCAAACAGCGAAGTCTTAGATTGGTGTGAAAATTGGAACTTTTTGTTTTAGAGGAACAGATGAAGAAGCACACCTTCCTTTGCGAAGAGGGTATCAAAAATAGGCAGCCACAAAAGATGGTGGACAACACTTCGGCGATTGCTAGACTGGCAAACAGGGTGCTTTTGGTAGCTAAGCAAGAATGTGATAATTCCGAGGATCCTCATTTCATCGACAATCTAAATAGAGCGTCTGATGATCTACAAAATGGTAATATTTGGATCTTTAACCAGTTTTATTTGGTAATTTTTTGTGTTTGCAGCTATCCCTCCAATGGTGCAAGATGCTAAGCTAGTGGCTGTGAATCCTGCAGATTCGCATTCTGCTTCTAGATGGAGAGATTCCAATAGAGCTGTAAGTCAATTTTAAATTTAAAAAAGTATTCATGAAAAGATGTGAATTTACTGAGGCTGGTTTCAATTACTTTTAACATAACCAATGTTGTTGGTTTCAATATAAAATATCTCTTAACTCACTCTTTGGTTCTCATATCTCCATCTTAGAAAAATTAAATAAGTGAGTTATGACCGACCAATGTTGTTGGTTTCAATTTAAAATATCTCTTAACTTACCCTTTGGTTCTCGTATTTCCATCTTAGAATAATTAAATAAGTGATTTTGTGACCAGCATTTAGATATACTCACTTTGGTGGTCATAAAGATTGTTCTCCAATAGGCAAATGTTTGACCGGTCGCTTTAGTTTTTAGAATGTTATCGATTTCTTTACTTTGCTTTCGCGTGTAATTCAACTAATTGAATTTTTTAGCTATGTATGTTTAAAAATTGTATTTGAGAGGTTTAAAGGTGGAGGATGGAATTAAATTGCAGGTATATGGCGATGTTATCGGGTCACAAGTTGTTGGTAAATGATTGCATAGTAGGGGCAGCCCGAATAGGGAAGATATCATTACGTCACACTTCACGCATCAACCTCACCATTTCAAAACGGCTAGATTTTAAAGCATTGCATTGGCGTGAACAGTTAGTTGTTGATACGATTAGTAATCACAACAAGCCAATTCACCAACGACGTGCTACTGACACAATGTTACCAAGGCTGTCGATAACAACAGACAAGTGCGCATCCTGTCGTAATGGTATCTTCTCTATTCGTGTTGTCCCTAATACTCCAGTAATTACGTACTGTATAATAATACCTTTAGCTGGAAAAATTTGCGGAAGTGTTGATATTTGGCGATTTGATGTATTTTTAACTGCTTTTTTATTTTGCCACCTCGTAATTTTGCCGCCGTGACCGCCATATTGTAATATTCCGAAAAAGAATTTTTTTTTAAATATCTTGTTACTAGTTGCTTTTACAGTAAAAATGACTCCAGTACTTATTGACACAAGTTCTTTCAATGCAGGAAAGGCGACCAATTCATCAATTATTTTTTTTTTCGTCATTGTTATCACGATTAATCCGGGAACTTCTCAATTCAACATGCTGTTTCGAAGTGCTAAACTCTATATTGCAAAAATTTTTAACCGCGTCACAAATATTGTGCAAAAATGACATTCCCATAGTCTACATAGAAAGTACGTTCTCCTGGACTCCCCGCCTACGGTTTTCATCGTTCGATTGATGATTTCTCAGTAACCATGTCTAACCATGTGCCATACCAAAATTTGTCAGAACGTTTAATTGTGAAGCGCCCTTCATCTGTAAAAGAGCTGTATTCTGTAGGATTAATCTTTTCTTTTAAACTATACTTATCCTGTAAATATAAATGGCCACATTCAGCGTACAAAAAATGACCACTGGCATGAAAATAGGGCAACATTTGCTGGATACTACACTCACCGGTACGAAAAACGGGCACCTCGATCATTTTTATAAAAATGCAATAATTTTTTTAATTCGGTTTTAATCATTTGGCTAACAAAGAATACGGTTTAGTAGAATACCCTGAAGATTTTTTAACATTTTTCGTGATTTTCACGATGACATTAAAGGTTAAGTTAAGTGTTCATTATGTTCTATGGTTTAGTACTTGGTTATGTCAATTAGTGCGAATTTTAAGATGTCTTTAAGCGCAGAAACTGTTGCATCTATTGTTGCTCTTATTCAAGACGGAAGAAGTAAAATTTACGTGGCTAACAGATTCGGGGTATCACGCAGTACCGTGTAACGTGTATTTACACGTTTTATAGAGACGGGGCTTTTTACTCGACGTCCTGGAACCGGTCCTCAGAGAAGAACTACTCATCGAGATGACCGTTTTATGATATCTTCAGCACTAAGAAATCATTACACAACTGCTGTAGATATTAGAAATAACCTTGAACATGTCAGGAACGTAAATGTTAGTGAACGAACAATTTAAAGAAGGTTAAATGAAGCTAATCTGAGATCTCGAAGACCCGCTATAGGACCAGAACTTTCCAGGGAGCATTGTGTAGCCAGATTACAATTCGCTAGGGAGCATCAAAATTGGAATGCAGACGACTGGAGCTTTGTGTTGTTTACCGATTAATCCAGATTTTGCTTACGATCACCAGATGGTCGCGAAAGAGTCTGGACAAGGACAGGTGAACGATATGCCGAGTGTACTTTTGGCCCTAGGGTAACTGTTCAAGGGGGTTCAGTTATGGTGTGTGTTAGAATAACCTCGGAGGCGTATACAGAATTGTACATGGTCCATAGGGGATCTGTGGACTGCGGATAGGTACATAAATGAGATCCTACAAGAATATGTTGTCCCATATGCACCATTTATTGGTGATAACTTTATACTGCTGCATGACAATGCACGCCCTCATGCCGCCCGCATTGTCACGGGATATTTGAACGAAGTTGGTATTACCCAAATGGGGTGGCACAAAATTGATCGAAAAACATTTGATCGAATAAGAAAATTGATCGAAAATACATTTTATCGAATGGAATTTGATCGAAAATACATTTGATCGAAGATATAATTTATCGAATAACATTTTATCGAAAAGACACTAGATCGAAAATTCATTAGATCGAAAGGACAATATATCGAAAATCAACATTAAAAATAGTAAAATATCAAAAAATCAAACGATACCATTCAATCTTCCGTCTAATCCCTACTACCTGTGAAACTAAACTAAGCTGCTATCAAAATTAGGTACGAATGGCAAATTTTTCAATAATCTCAAATGATAGCTACCTCGTTTAACAAATTTTATTCTTACAATACTGTTAATTTAAAAATAATTATTTTAGAGCTACACGGTTATTTATCTTAATTTGGATTTAAATGTGATTAATTCGCACAAAATATGTATTTCAATAAGGTCGAGTTGTCTCACGATGGGGCATTTTAGGTAAATTATTTTAAGTTTTTTTTTATATAAAAAATTTAATTATATTACCTAACCTGTGCGATCTGCAGCCGTCGCGGTTTGCCTCGCAAAAAAAATATAGAAAAAAAAAGGAAAATTCAAACAAAAATTCTAACTAATTTACCTAACCTGCGCGGTCTGGAGCCCTCGAGGATTACTTCGCTAAAAAAATTATACAAAAAAAGAAAAAATAAAAACTTACCTAATTTACCTAACCTGCGCTATTTAAATTTAACTGATTGCTCTCGCGTATATTAGATAAGTTAATTTAGTTTTTTTTTTTTTATTATAAAAAAATTAATTAATTTACCTTACCTGTGCGGCCTGGATTCTACGCGGTTATCCTTGCAAAAAAAATATAGAAATATAAGAAAACTGAAAACAAAAAATTTAACTAATTTAGCTAACCGGCCTAGAGCTGTCGACCCTCGACGCTGTACCACCTCGAGCCATTGCGAATTTTATCCACCAATTATGTTAATAATTGTTCATTCGTTTTTCTATAAAGGTCCCCAACATTTTTTTCGCAAAAAAAAAATTATACAAAAAATAGAAAAATAAAGAATTCCTAACCTGTACGGCCTGGAGCAATTTAACTGATTGCTCTGACACGGGTTAGGTAAGTTAGTTAGGTTTTTTAAAAACTTAACTAACTTACCTAACCTGTGTCAGAGCAATTAGTTAAATTACCCCAGGCCACACAGGTTAGGTAAATTAGTTAGGTTTTCTTTATTTTTATTTATTTTTATAAAACTTACCTAACCTGTATCAGAGCAATCAGTTAAATTGCTCCAGTCTGAAAACGTCGCAATTATAAAAATAAAAAAAATTTATTTACCTAACCTGTGCTATTCAAATTTAAGTGATTGCTTTTGCACAAGTTAGGTTAGTTAGGTACGTTACTTAAGTTTATTTTATTTTTGTTTTTGCGAAGCATTCAGCGATGATTCTAGGCCACACAGGTTAGGTAAATTAGTTAAAATTTTTGTTTTCATTTTTCTTATTATTCTATAATTTTATGAATATTTGGTTTTTCGATTAATTGCTTTTTCTATCAAATCAATTTTCGATCAATTTTCTTTTCGATCATTATTCTTTTCGATCATTATTCTTTTCGATCATTTTTCTGTTCGATCAATTTTCTTTTCGATCAATTGTTATTCGATAAAATGTTTTTTCGATCAAATGTATTCGATCAAATGTTTACAGAGTTTTTTAAAAAACCTAACTAACTTACCTAACCTCTTTCAGAGCAATCAGTTAAATTGCTCAAGGCCGTACAGGTTAGGTAAATAAGTTAGGTTTTCTTTAATTTTTCCTTTTTTGTATATTTTTTTTTGCGAAGCCACCCTCGAGGGCTCCAGGCCGTACAGGTTAGCTAAATTAGTTAAAGTTTTTGTTTTTAGTTTTCTTATTTTTCTATATTTTTTTTTGCAAGGATAACCGCGTAGGATCCAGGCCGAATAGGTTAGGTAAATTATTTAAATTTTTCTTAATAAAAAAACTAAATTAACTTACCTAACATACGCAAAACCAATTAATTAAACTTGAATAGCGCAGGTTAGATAAATTAGTTGAATTTTTGTTTGAATTTTTCTTATTTTTCTATATATTTTTTGCGAGGCAAATCGCGACGGCTCCAGGGCGCACAGGTTAGGTAAATTAATTTAATTTTTGTATATAAAAAAAACTAAAAATAATTTACTTAAAAGGTCCCATCGGGAGACAACTCAACCTTATTGAAATACATATTTTGTGCGAATTAATCACATTTCTTTAATCCCAATGAAGATAAATAAACGTTTAGCTCTAAAATAATTATTTTTAAATTAACAGTATTGTAAGGATAAACTTTGTTAAACGAGGTAGCTATCATTTGAGATTATTGAATTAGTACTTAATTTTGATAGCCGCTTAGTTTAGTTTCCCTGGCCTGGTAGTAGGGATTAGACGGACGGTTGAATGATATCGTTTGATTTTTTGATATTTTACTATTTTTAATCTTGATTTTCGATATATTGTCCTTTCGATCTAATGAATTTTCGATCTATTGTCTTTTCGATAAAATGTTATTCGATAAAATATATCTTCGATCAAATGTTATTCGATCAAATGTATTTTCGATCAAATGCTATTCGATAAAATGTATTTTCGATCAAATGTTTTTCGATCAATTTTGTGCCACCCCTGCTCCCCTTACCTTGGATAAGCTCAGAGTGGCTCTTTTAGAGGAATGGTAAGCAATTCCACAGAATGAATTATTCAACTTGATTAACAGTATGCATAGAAAAATGAATTTTTGTTATATAGGCTCGTAGAGGCAATACGAGGTATTAATTAGACAGACAAGTTTTAAATACTGGTTTTTTAAATTATTTTTTGTGTTTCTGATGATAATTGTGTAATTGTTAATAAATTTATTTTCTTTGTGTTAATTTTTACAGACATAAAAGCTTTCCGAAAACATTTTTTGAAGAAAGCACATTTTAAAATCATGTACCAATCCGTGCCTATCATTGACAGAAGTTACAATACAACAAATATAAAATTGAGGCATTTGAATCAAAAATTATGGGGTGTCCGTTTTTCGTGCCGGTTAGTGTATTAAGATGAAGGTACCAGTTTCCTCTTCTTTCGGCCTCAATAAATTGTTTCATAACTGATACCACGCGAAAGTAAGAAACCCATAATTTAGTAGTTGGCTCACGTTACTAGATGATTTTCAAATTTTGAAGCTAATTCTTTGACGCATTCTTCTTGGTCTGCTCCAAGTATTACAGACAGACTGGTGATAAATCAATTTTTTGCATGATCAAATTTGTGAGATAACACATGTGCTCTGCACGGACGAGAGTATGCATGACCTGCATTGGTATTCTCATCTTTCAATACGGCACGTGTTGAGACGACTACCTTCGTTCCACAGAATGCGATTCTTATGTAATGTCTCTCTCTATTTGATTCGTTACGTGTTGAGTTCGCACATAAGAATCCCTGTCCAGATAACATCTTTTCAAGTGAGTTCTGTGCAAAAATTGTACTTAGAAGCTCGGTTAGTCCACTTCCATTAATACTATACCCTATGGATCCCATGAACGACATCAATAAATGAAAGCCACCTAATTGTATTGGCGATTCAAATTAATTTTCGCGCGCCTGTCATTTGTCACTTATAAGTAGGATGTTTGTTTATTTACATATTTTTGTTTTGGGCGGATTTTGTATTTGTGATTTTTTTAACTGTTTTTAGATAATATTCTCATTGTAATAGTGTTTTTGAGTTTCATTTAGTGTTAATTTAAGTTTAAGTCTCGTGCTTTCGTCATAAATATAATATTTATCATGTGTATGACTTATTTGTTGGAAATATTCACCTATTGGTTGCTACAAGAACATCTAGAAATATGTATTCACTAAACCCAGGACATGTTTTATTATGTGGTTTAAAGGACATTTCAGGTACCACACGTTTATTATTGATGAACTTATTTAAAAATCTTACTAGACTTATTCTTATATTATGAAGTGAATCATGTAGTACTTTGTATAGATGTAAATGGTAATAAAACCGTCACAAATCAGATTACAGTTTGATTCTAAACAAAGTTTTGTACAATTTCAATATTGTGAATTTGTAGATATTCATTAACAAAATTTTACGACTTGCACTTGGAAAATATTGAATACTTCAATTTTGATTTTGACATTAACACCATATAGATTGCAATTTTCTGGGGACGTTTTCGCAGATTTCATTTTTAATATAAACACTATCACATACTATAAGAAATAAACAAATTTAAAGGTAAAAAGTAAGAAAAAACTCGAATTGTAATTGATACAAATTAAAATGTAAACAATGAACACGAACGCCAATGTTGCCAAATGATCAACTGATTTTAAAACAAAATTAATAAATGAACTGAAATTTTAAAAAAATCAATATAATAAATCGGTTTTGTAAAAAATCCTTAAATAAATAAAAGTCTCTTGTCTTTACAATTTATTGCAATATGGTGGCGACAGCGACAAAGATACAAGGTGGCAAAATAAAAATTCGGAAAAAGCAGCTCAAACGTAGAATCACAAAATATCAAATCTTTTCCATGTAAATTTACGTAGTTACTGGTTTATAACAACGATCGGAATCTGTATATTTGAATGTGTATATTATTATTTTATGTTCAAAATACATTTATATTTAATTTATTTTAAAATATATTTCGCCTTATAAATGTGAAAATATCTTTATTAAAGTTATTAAACGCTGTTGGAAACATTCGTCAAGCTGTTCAAATCAATCCAGAATTACCTCCATTACCAGATATCAATTCGTTGAACTTGGGTAAGTTTAGTAAAAATTTTTGTGCAGTTTTAACAAAAAATCTTACATTTCTTTATGTAGTTACTTATACGTAAATATTTAACTAACTTGTAATAATTCAATAACAATTTTTTTAACAACAATTTTTAACCCATTTTAATAACGGTAACTTATCTTTTTCAGAAACTGCACCAAGCCATTACTTTATTGACAAAGGTATATTTTGGGGCTATCTAAAATCTAAAATTTCTTATAACAAAGGGCATTGTAATTATTGTTTTAACGAATTATTTTCAGTATATTCAGTGAATTTTTTTCTGTATTTTAATAGTAGCTTATTGATTTTTTTTTAGAAATGTTGTAAATATGTATAAATTTTCACAGTGTAGATATAAATAGTTGTTCATTTTAATTGTCAAACCAGATAAAATTGATATGGAATAAACACGGTTTACTTTATTAGTAAATTTTTTGAAGCCGACCCTGTCGACTACTTCAGTGTCAAAAGATAAGCTGCGATCGTTTTCTCTTCAATCCAATCACACTTTTGACTCTAAACGACGTTTTTAGGTTACTAGAAATTAACCATTTTGATTGATTTTCTATTGAAGCTAAACATGTTCAAAATATTTAAATACAAGAAAAAGTATATTAGAAAAAAATGCCTTCGTCATATAATTTAAAAATAAAATTTGTAAGTTTGTTGACAAAACTTTGCCAGAATGAAATAAAAAATTTCATGCTTCCTCCCTTTGAATTGAATTGTTTCGACGAAAAAAAATTTGGATTTAGCATTTAAAATATTTATTTTTGTATAATTAGTAAACTAAAAAAAAAAAAAAAAAATGTAAAAATTGTATAATTTACTTTATAATCAGAAAGCACCCCGCACTTTCCTTATGTAAAGTGGTGACCGGCAGGCAGTGGCGTAGTGATATAATTGGGGGCCTGGGGCGGCTCTAGCCAAGGGGGCCTATATATATATATATATATATATATATATATATATATATATATATATATATATATATATATATATATATATATATATAGTGTTGTACACAGCTAATATATAAGGACACAATTGTCTAACAGGTACAATGATAACAAGGGGTATGGAACTTAATATATCTCATTGTGAAATTACTCAATACAATGTTGTACAGCAATGACAAAAAATAGATACACAGACTTACCAGAATAATAAAAAGTAGAAACAAATTAAATTTTTTGTGAGCCTTGAGTTCCGAAAATTGTTGGATTAAGTCATCAAAACTCACATGCTTAGCGATCTCATTTTCAATGGATAATATAGCCAAGTTTGTCAAACGAGACTGGCTCATTGTAGAACGGACATGGTTTTTAATTAATTTTAGTTTTGAAAAACTTCTCTCACAAAAAGCCGCAGACACAAATAGTGAGAAATAATTTAAATCCCTCAGTTTTGATTGGTAACGATTCACGAAAGTCCATTTCAATAATAAACTTCAACATTTGCAATGACGTCCATGAAACTGCATCATCAATTTTTATTCCAAAAGTCTTCAGATGTCTTCTTATCCTCTTCACTTTTGGTAATATTTCTTCTTCCTCTGTATGTACAGGGTGAGTCGGGAGGAGCGCACCAAACTCTAGGAGTATATTATACACGTGAAAATAATGTAAAAAAACTCATATGTTCTTATCCGATTTTCATTTGTTTTCAAGTTATAGAATATTAACAAATAAACAAATTTACACATAAAAATTCTCTTAATCATAGCGTTCTTTGAATAAATGTTCAAAAATACCGCCATTGACTTCTAAACATTTTCTGCTTCGTCTACGAAGAGCGTTTGTTGCTCTCCTAATTGATTCATTTCTTTCTTCTTTAATATGGGCTGCAGTATTCTCAATTCGTCTAATTAGTGCATCCCGTGTGTCCACTTTTATTTTGTAGACTTCATTTTTCATCCAGCTCCATAAACAAAAATCTAATGGTGTGAGGTCTGGAGATCTTGCAGGCCAATTAATAGGACCTCCACGACCAATCCAACGCCCTGGAAAATGTTCGTCCAAATGTTGCTTGACCTGACGAGCGACATGTGCAGGAGTTCCATCGTGCTGATAGTACATCTGCATTCTAATATTTACAGGAACATCCTCTAACAGGCCTTGTAATTTATTTTGTAAAAAATTGAGGTAGTTGTCTCCTGTGAGACGATTTTCCAAAATGAAAGGGCCAATTAAATAACTGTCAACCATACTACACCACACGTTTACAGAAACCCGATGTTGAAAATTGCCTTCGACTGTTGCGTGGGGATTTTCGTCTGACCATACATGATAGTTACGAGTATTATTAATGCCATCACGGGTAAATGTAGCTTCATCCGTAAAGGGTATACTCGATACAACACGATGATTATTATTTATCCACCGTCAAAACTCCATACGGTTAGCGTAATCCTGTGGTTGTAGGTGCTGTACTCTCTGTACGTGATAAGGATATAAGCCTTGCTCGTGGAGTGTGTTCATCACTCTTTTTTGTGGAATTCCCAATTGAGTGTCAATTCTCCGTGAGCTAGTAGTTGCATCTTCTTCCACTAGATGCAGAATATTTTCTACTTCTACAAAACCTTGTCGAGTAACGCGTTCAGATGTTATGAAAGCACTGGGAAGCTTACCAGTCTCGCACAATTTGTTGAAAACTCTAATAAATACGTTTTTATCAGGATGTCTTCGGTGTGGAAAACGTTGACGATATTCTTCAGCAGCAGCTGTAGCATTTCCATTACAGAAACCATAAACAAACACCATATTTGCATATTCTAAATTTGAATAAGTATCTGGCATTTTGCAACACTAACAATCACATAAATTCGAAATTAAACGTTCAGTTACTGTTCACTGTACACTGACAGTTCATCAAAACGTCAGAATTATCAAATGCCTTTGAGCCTTGAACATATGGCATACTTTGATAATGTTAAAATTCAGAAGTGGGCAGCTAGATGAACATTTTAAATTACGCCATAACTTGAAAACAAATGAAAATCGGATAAGAACATATGAGTTTTTTTACATTATTTTCACGTGTATAATATACTCCTAGAGTTTGGTGCGTTCCTCCCGACTCACCCTGTATAAGTTACCAGGTCTTCATTACTTGCATTTACGAGATTTCTTTAGCTTTTTCTCCTGACATTATCTTTTTAAGTTGTGTGCGATTTTTGCTTTCGATATCAATGTCCAATTTAGCACAAATTGTAGTTGCATGTTCTAAGTCTCTTTGGACCAGTTCTTCCCGACTCTCTTCTAAAAACATTTTTAAGTTTCTCAACTTCAATGCACATTTTTCCAAACTAATACCTTCGATTTGGAGGTATTTTTGTACATGGTTCACTTCAGATATAATGTGGTACCATAAGTGCAAGAAACAAAGAAAATTAAAATTACAAATGTTTGTTTTCAACACCTCCGCTGCACCCCTCGTATCTAGATTCTCAGAAGCATCACACAACTTGTCTACAGCATCAACCAATTTTTCGAAATTTTTAAATATTGTTTTAATTGCATCATGAGCACTTCACCTAGTATCTCTTCACAGTCACTCCAACGATTTCTTTTAGAACATCCCATCTATGAGTTGAACACGAAAACAACTTTTACACACTTTCCAAAGTCCCAAAAATTGTTATACAAAAAGAAACACTTCCAAAAGCTAGTATCTAGCATAAATGGGACAAAAACCGCTTTTGGATTTAATTCTTTAATTCTCATTTGCACTCCGGTATGATTGCCTGCCATGGTTGTAGTAGCATTTTCATAACCTTGGCTACGGCCAAGTCTTAAATCTAAACCGTCCTTTTTAAGCAATTGAATGATCTCTTCTGTGATGTCGCTTACTTTTTTTCCCACTACGAAGAATAAAACCCAGAAATGATTCTTTCACCTCTACTTTCCTATTGTCAATTTAGAATTATACAAATAGAAAACATTTTCACGATTTAAAGTATTTTATTAAATAAAACAAATATAGTTGTCGAATATTCTGGTGTCTTTTTTTGTTATTTAGAAAATAAAGGTATTTTCAGGCCTAGTCTATTACTTTTGAAAGGCTATTTGAAAACGAAACGGAGACAATTTTGGACGAAAAAATGCTCTGACCCGTCAAGTTTTTATTTAGAGGAAAACATTTTTTGCCAGTTTCAACCCCCGAATGAAAACCCTCTAGCGGGGGTGAGACTCATCCCTAAAATCTTACCTAGAAACAGGGGTCGAATGATATCTTATTTTGAAGGTATTTTTACTTAGATTACAACCCCCGAGTTTTACAAAAAAAAAATTGTGTCAACGGACCCAAAATTGTTATGTATAGTGTGTTTTAAAGTGTTTAGAAACTTTCTGTAAAATTTCAATAGTAATATCCGCTGTTCGAGTGTCGTCGTACCTATATTACCAAAGAGAGACCGCTTACAATGACTCATATTGACAAATTTTGCAGGTTTTTTTAAAACAATAAAATTCTAGATAATAAGTGAGTCAGGCGACTAGTATGTTTCGTGCGGCGCTTCATGTAAATTCCGACTTTTAAGAGATAAAGACTGCTTACAATGACTCATATGAGCACTAACAAATTTACAATTTTACATATCTTTACAAAATATCCTATTCAAATTTATAAAATATCTAATAATAAATAAACAGTTGTTACACTTACAGGAGGAACAACTATCGTCAGATAATCTATTGATTTTCTTTTGGATTTGTTTTTCTGTTAAAAAACTTTTCTTTACTTGTTAAATTCGTACATCACTTTTATTATTTTCCTCGTCCGTTTTCTTTCCGGCATTTATATTTAAATTTTAAATACAATCGCAAAATGAAGTTAACAGTTCGACACGAAACAATGTAATGTTGATGAGTGGGTATTGGTATGTGATTCATTCTTTAAACTTGTGCAGTTCGGCCACATATGGGTCATTCTCAAAAAAAGAGGGAAAATTACTTCTGACCACATCTTTTAAATATTTTGCTAAATTAAGTAACCAATTTCTGGCCAAAGGATTCATTTTAATTGCTCTTTTTGTACCAATAATACATTTTGAAAAAAAAACCACATTTAAAAAATATATATATAAAATTTCGAAAAAAAAACATTACCATGTCATGTCATATTACAATTTCACAAGAAGAACTGAATTTTTTCCATGAAAACAAATTGTTTTTGAACA